ACCAGGTGCGAGAGCCAGCTACAGTGCTCCCCACAGGGGAGAGCGTCCTGGACAGCGAGAGCACGGAAGGAAGCTCCGCCCACTGCACCATGGCTGAGGGTGAGCTGAGCTCTGTGGACAATGATATGGATATATATGCAGACATGCCCCCTCTTCTTCCGCCTTCGTCTGAACTATCAGTCTGCCCTGAACTATCTGCCAGTCCTGAAATGACCATGGAGGCCGTTCCCCTATCGTTGGCGCTCCCGGTGTTGGGAGTGGCCTTCTGGTGTGTATGGGCAGCACACACCATTCCTGAAAAAACTGGTGCTCACAAATTCCGACCCACCCTCCCTTTCCTGCCTTTTCCTGTCATCCCTGCTGCTTCTGCTCCGCCACCGCTGGCTCCTGTGAGCCCCTCTTCTCACCCTCAGCCCACCATCTGTGCGCTGGATTCGCCGCGGGTCTGCCAGTCTCCATCGGCGTCGTGGCTGGAGGATCCCTAGTATCTGCCTCCAGCCTCTGAGTCCTGGACTCCGCCTCGGCCCTTCAACCCAGCAGCTCCACCATGGCTCCTAGCTCCCTCCTCTCCGCCGTGGCCCATCAGTCCACCAGCTCCGCTGGGCTCCCTCGTCCCTCCGGCTCCGCCTTGGTCTGTCGTCGACCATCCGCCGCCTCGGGACTCCACTCTTCCGGCTACACCTCGTTCCTCCGTCCCTCCGGCTCTGTTAGGCTCCTCCCTCCCTCCAGCTCCAACTCGGTCCTCAGTTGCTCCGGCTCCACCGCGGCCTTCTGGATCCCCGCCTCCGCCTCGGTCACCGGAGCCTTCTGCTCCGCCTTGGCCCTCTAGATCCTCGGTGTCGCCCTGGCTCATCGGCTCTCCGCCTCGGGCTCCACCACCACCTGCTCCGCCGCCGGTGGTCCCCCTGGAGTCATCAGCCCTTCCTCCACCATGGCTTCTCCCTCTTTTGGCTCCACCGTGGGCCGCTGTCATGGCTGTGGCCTGGGTTCAACCTGGCTCCTGCTACAATTCCCTTCTGTCGTCACCCTGGCTCCTCCCTCCATCATCACCACCCTGGACTCTGTTGGTCGTCGTCCTCCTCCTGGGAGTCCGTCCTCCACCGGAACCTCCACCTGTCTTGTCTGTCTGTCTGTCTGTCTGCTTGCCTGCCTGCCTTCCTGCCAGCCCTTTGCCATCCCCTGTCACCATCCCACATCCACTCCTTTGTCCTCCTCCTAAGTCCCCCTCCATCCCTCCCTTTGTCTCTGTGGCGCGAGGTCGCGCTTTCCGGGAGGGGGGCAAACTGTCACAGGATTAGATGTTTGGTTGTGTTTTTCTCCCTCATGTGCCCATATTTGGTCGTTCCTGTTCCTGTTCCTGTCCTCGTTGTGTCTTTATTAGTTAACCTCCTTTCACCTGTGTCTTGTTAATTAGTCATTAGCTCCTCTTCCGTTGTATAAATTCCCTTCCTTAGTTCTCTGAGTTGTCGGTTATCGCATGTGGTTACCTTTCTTGTGTGGATATTCCCTTCATCTTTCCCTGTGGATTTATTAAAAAGAATTAAGATTATCTTCGACGTACGCTCTTCTGTCTTCATTCCAGCACGTAAGCGTGACACTGAGTTCCTTCATTTTTACTTGGAAAGTAGTTGCAAATGTTTTCCTTGCTTGCTTTGAATGCAGCCAGCAAAAAGGACAAAGTTTTGCCTAAATCCAGATCTTTCTGCGCAGAAACCTCTCTTAATTGTGTCCAGCATGGTTTGACCTTTTAGTCTTTCCAAGAGGAGTTTTTTTTTCATTTGAAATATTCTAACAATCTCTGAATCAGAAACAATTCTTCCCTCTCTGCTCCTGGAAAACTCATGTTGCGTACACTCATATTACAATATGATATGATGTGAGTTGGGTCAGTTTACATTTAAATACAATCTATGGTAGAATAGAAATTAGGTTTCATCATAAAATCTATAATTGGTTTATGTCTCTCAGTAATGCAAGCTGAACTGATCTTAACGTCAAATCAGTGAAAAATATACATGAGTAAAATAATATTGAAAAAAGATATTAGACTGAAAAAAACAATGCAATGAACTAAATTCAGCATTGAGACCAAACACTGGAAGAATTATACTATAAAATTATTTATTTAACATACAACCATTAATGACCAGCTTAATTTCTTCATCCAAGTTGTGTTTTCCTCTTGAAAATAGCATATATATATATATATATATATATATATATATAATCTACCAAAACTATTTATTTATTTATATAATAAAATATTTATGGAATATATTCATAGTCGGAGAAAGTAACTAAAAGGTTGAAGTGTGTTTTCAGGTGTTTTTCATAAATGTCAGGTCAGGGCTGACCTGAGTTGTCATATTTGTATTGGGGCAAGTTGTCACAAATGTTTTAATGTGCTAGTCATGTTAGGTCATATATTTATGTTTGTACAGGGATTTTTACAATATAATTTCAAAGCAGATTTACAGAAATGTAAGTTTCAACGTCAACAGCCCTATAATATTTTATATTATATTTTATATTTATAATAGTTTTGTTATATTTTAATAAATGTAAGCCATTGACAAAAAGCAAGCCAAATGTAATTGTATAGCACTGACTGTATAGCAGTTTATTAATTTCAGTATTTGTTGACCAAAACAATGGTGTGAAATATGCTAACGTTTACATTTTTATGAATCATACATTCTTTAGTGCTACATAATTTTTACTTGCTGAAAAGTACACCTGTAATTTTGTGAGAATGTTTTAAATAAATTGATATTTTTAATCAGCAAGGATGCATTAAATTGATCAATGGATCAAATGTGACAGTAAAGACATTTATAATGTTACAAAAACAATATATTTCAAATAAATGCTGTTCTTTTGAACTTTGTTCATCAAAGATTCCTTAAAATGATTTCTGATGGATTATGTAACACTCAGCTTTGCGTTACAGAAATAAATTATATAATATTGACATGTTTATATAGTTATTGTGATAAACTAAACTTGTTCTTTTAAAAATCTGTAGGCTACTTGGAGGTAATGTAATACTGCTAGATGAAAGGCCACTTAAGTGCACTTAAAGAAACACATTTAACACACTTAAATACACTTTAAAAAGGTGCATTTTGTAGTGATGTCAAATTAAAAGTGTTCCTTTAAACTACAAATGTGACCCTGGAGCACAAAACCAGTCTTAAGTCGCTGGGGTATATTTGTAG